TGGTGGCACACACGTAATCTCAGTAGCTCAGGAGGCTGAGGCAGGAGGATCATGAATTCAGAGCCAGCCTCAGCAATTTAGCAAGACCCTGAGAAACTCAGCAAGAACTTGTCTCTAAATAAAATATAAAAAGAGCTGGGGCTATGGCTCAGTGGTTAAGCAACACTGGGTTCAATCCCTGGTACTAAAAACATACACACAAGACAAACAAACAAAAAACCCAATTGCTACAATGCCTCTACAGTCTGATGATGCTCATCCTTTGGACTTTGCTCCCAGCTCATTTATACCCGCTCTGCTTGCTTTCTTTTACCTCCTCCTTCCCTAATCTCCACACCTTTTTAATGAAAGTGCCCTATTTCACAGATGCTTTCCCTGCCTCTAAAATCTTGTCCTCTAGTAAACATTTCACTAAATCCTCCATCTCTTGTGAAGACAATTTCAGATTGGTCCCCAATAAAGTGACATTACTTTTCCTCTTTTTTTTTTTGAACATTAGCATGTTTTCCTGTAACTATAATAGTCTGTATCAAGTAGGAATATGTTTGGCTGCGACTAATTGAAAATTTTGTTCCATCTGTGGTTAAATCATAGAGATAGGTATTATCTCACTGAAACAGTAATCTGGAGGTAAGTGGTTCCAGGGTTCTTTCAGGGGCTTTCTGTCATTATCTAGGACCAAGATACTTTCCACATTCCCATGCCCTCATCGGTAGCATATTGTCTTTTATTCATATGCCTGTGGCCTCCCTGTTGCAATACACTTCACTATTGCAATAAGGCTGCTGCAACACCAGAGATTACATACTAACACTGTGATTAAATGCAAGAATCAAGCATGTAGCAAAAGATGTTTTTCTCTCTGCCCCTATTTAGGAAGCATTTCCTTAAGTCTTCCTTACCGCCCCATGGGCCATTACTATACAAGGAAAATTATGAAAATCTCTCTTTTTCAGCCTCTAGTTAAACTCAATCTCCTCTTTTGTATAAATCAAATGAAATCGTGTTCTATTTATTGTACCTCCAATAGCTCTTTGCAGCCATCTAACTCTGTTCACCCCCTACTGCCACCACTGTCTCGCAGCCATCACACATGAACTATTCCAACAGTTCCTAACTGGGCTCCCTGTAGCCCCATCTCTGCCTGCTCCATTTGCTCTTTACACCCAACTACCATGATGTGTTCATGCAAATCTCATAATGTGGCCCCCTCTTTTTTTTTTTTTTTTTTTTTTTTTTTTTGTGGCCCCCTCTTTAATGGGTATTGATCTGAATGGTCTGATCACACTCAGCTTTCAAGCCTCATCTCCCAGCTTTCTTAGCACTCAGATCACGCTTGCCTGCTCTCTGCCCCTCAAGAATCCTCATGCCTCAGCACTCAGATCACACTTGCCCTGCTCTCTGCCCCTCAAGAATCCTCATGCCTCGAGCCTTCTGCAAATGCTCACTCTTCCCTACCACAGTTCATTTCTCCTAGCTTCATGCCTCCATTTAAATGTCTTCACTATAAGCAAGGGCTATTTCTTTTCTCTCTTTAAAAAAATATTTTTAGTTGTAGATGGACACAATACCTTTATTTATATGTGGTGCTGAGGATCGAACCAGGTCCCTTACATGTGCTAGGCAAAGACTCTACCACTGAGCTACAACCCCAGCCCTGGAAGGGTTATTTCTATAAAAACGTCTATACCTAGACTGCAAATTACTTGAGTTAGGCATTACGTCTTTCACTACTTTTGTATTGCAGAAAGTGCTCAGAACAAAGATAGTCATCCTTCAGTTGCTCCATACCCAGTCCTTCAGAGGAGTTATGCTTGCATGTATATGAGCACAGGAACATCAAAACAGGTCTTGGAAAAGGGAGAGCATCCTGCAAGAAGCAAGCTGAATCTCTGCTTTTATTGGCAAAAATGTCCTATGTCAATACCTTCTGTTAAACTAACAAAAAGCGTTCATACGTGACCAGGAGCCAAAGCACCTCATGGGTTCCTAGCCGGCTCCGCCACGCATCAGCGGGCAACTCTGAGCAACCTTTTAACCTTCGCATGCTGGGGTTTCCTTGCGCAAATGAGGATAATAATAGAACCTACCTCCTAGGTACGTGTGAGACATAAATGAGTGCTTGGAACAGCACCCGATTCTCAACAGCAAGCTGGTTAATAATGTTATAGCCTTTTAACTAAGGGCGCCTGAAATTCCCCAACATTTTGCCCAAGTGTGAATCAGCCCCCTGTGAGTCACAAAACTTGGGATTCCCGGACCCAGGGAGCGGTGGACATAGGCGGGGTAGAAATCTGGGTAGGGGCAAAGGGAGAGCTGTCGCAGCATTTATTCAGAAGAGCCCACCTCCAGTCTCGGTCTCCTGTTCTTAAGCCTCCACCATTTATTACCAAGTAGGAGTGGGTCCAGCAAGCGGCGCAGCACAGCTTTTCTCCAATCAGACTCCACAAGGGTGGCGCCACGTCTGCGACCAGATCCAATCTCGTCCCCTGAAGGGCGGGAACGCGAAGTGCCTACCTGCACCTGTGGCAGCGGTGACCGCCTCCTGTTTTTCCCCCCTCCCGCTGCCGCTGGGTTCTGGTTTCTCCAATCACTTGGCGAATAACCAGCAGGTGGGCAGATGTCTTTTCGCGTTCCTACCGAAGCGAAGCGTAGGAAGGCTTAATGCGCCAGAGCGAGCAGCTGGCGTCCCACCTCTGGGCGCTTCCCGAGCGGTTCTATCCGGGAAGAGGGACTTGCCTTACAATGTAAAGCTACTGAATCAGGCGAGGCTGCTGGGTTCTTCACCTGGGGCAAAGAATCCCACAGTTCCTCGGACCGACTGAGCCCGGAGCTGCCTCCGCACTGCTCAGAAGTTGGAGGTGCCAGAGACCAGCAGCAGCACTTAGTTAAGCTTCGCTGCAGGGATTGTTTGGTTCGGTTTCCAGCAACGGAATCCCTACAAGACCACGCGAAGGGACACCACGCCCCAACTTCAGGTACCCCCCGAGCGTGTCCCCTTAGTGCTCTCGGTCGTGAGTGCTGAGCGGGCCCGCGGTGTCCTGGAACCAAGCAGGTGAGCTACCGGGGTGGTTCTGCGTCCGCCCAGACAGAACCGGGAGGCGCGGTATCACCCTGGGGTGCTGCCCCGCGCCGCCTAGTCCCTCACCTCTTGGAACCGAAAGGGAAGTTGTGAGCTGAGAGAGTTCAAGAACTGCACTCTTCAGACCTTTGAGTAATTTGCAGTTTTTTTCCTTGCACAATTTACACAATGCCTTTCGTGCACACAAAGTTTATAGTTCTGGAAATTCTGTAGAATAAAGTGTGGAGGACAGCAAGCTGCACCGGGACCGCCCACCACCACCATTAGTAAATAACCTGGAGGAGGGGGTGCTTTTCTGATCTGCAAAGTTGTAGAGAGTGGGATGTTTGCAGACCCTACTGCCAATTGTGCTTGAGGGCGTGGGTGCCTTTTGTACCGAAGGAACTTTTGGCCGTTTTTTCTTATTGTTTTCAAAGTCCCAGCCCAAGTGTGCCCTGGGGGCATCCTGGGGAGAAGCTGGTGCCATGGTTTGGGGGAGCATCCAAGGCCGCTGGATCGCCTTCCACAGGCTTTGGGACTTCCTCTCCCTGTAGTTCCGGGAGGAGAACTACTAAAAACAAACACTGCTGAAGTTTCTCTCCTGCTCACTGGCAAATCCCAAGAGTGCGAGTGCTGGGAGCGTGGGCTGAGACCTAGCGGAGCAGAAACCGGGAAATGAGCCGCGGCTCAAGCGAATCCCACGCATTCATGGTAGTAGTGCTGGATAGACAGTGTAACAGAAAGTGGGCAGAGAATTTGAGCTTCCAATATTAACACCTAAGTGTTAATAAGCAGCCTTTTTGCTCCGCAGAGGGGCTATTAAAAGCCTGGAGAAAAAGAAAATCGTTTTGGAGTTCGTAGTTGAGCGCTCTCTCCTTTGGAGGATGGAATTGCGCAAGAAAAAGAACAGAAACCTTTAATTCGTAACTAAAATTCTCCAAGATGAGTTGATAGTACAGACAGACAACTTGGTGCATAATTGATACAGCACTAAAGGAAAAGGGGGAAAGGACGTTTGCCTCTTGACCTCATCACAGCTGTAGGCGGGAGCGACTTTTGTGAAAACGCTACATTGGTCACTGGGGAATAAAAGGAAGAGTAGGATGGCAGTTTTCACGGGAAGTTAGTCTAGACGTGCTTCTCTGAAAGTCACAAGGCAGAAGCGGTTAAAAGCCGAGTTTAAAAGAAGCAGAACAAAAAAACAGTATGAGCTTGTCCCTTTTCCTTACTGGGTATAAATTCCCCGTAATATCACATCGAAAAAGATCCTGGATTGCGAGTGTCTAGGGGAAATCCTTTGGGGGGAATTTGGGTCTATTTGATCGTGGTCTAAAGCTCATTATTCAACTCTAGCCTCCTACTCTTGGTTCCGAGCGTCCTCCTCCCAGGTGCTCCTAGGAAGAGAGGTCATTCTAGCCAAGGTGGATCGTTTATGGGCGTCCATCTACAGTCAGACAGTGTGGACAGGACAGAACATTTTCCCTCTGGAGCCGGCTTGATCCAGATGGCTGGATGTGCCCGGGTGCCCTTCACATGGTAACCACTGAGCTCTCCCAGGAGACAAAGGTTGAGGCCAGAGCTCAAGGATCTGCCCAGAGATCTGGTAGTGGCGCCCTGGAGGTCAGTAGTCCGCCGGCACTGTAGGGGGTGCGGCGGCGGTGCCTCATGGGGGCCACGTGGCTCCGAACTTGGGGAGCTCAGATCTCGCTGGGTCCCAGGTGGAGTGCAGGAGAAGAAAGGAAATTGGGGGCACTTATGACTTAGACCAACCCATTAACCAAGTTGTGTTTTCTTCCCCAGTATAGGGATTGCCTCGGTTTCCATCCCGCAGCCCGCATAGAAGCCTGGGAAAGAGGTGGGGAGAGACCTTCGGGAGTGAGGGCTGCTGCAGTTGAAGCCCTTCCCCACGAGGGGCGCCCCAGTCCCCGGCTGGCGGACCATGGCCGACAGCGGTGGCACCGGCAGCTCTGGGCCCTGGTGGAAATCGCTAACCAACAGCAAGAAGAAAAGCAAGGAAGCCACGGTGGGGGCACAGCCTCTGGCCCAGCCAGACCCCGAGGAGCCCAACCCGCCCAGCCCAGAATGGACTAGCAGCTCCCAAGAGAACCAGCACCCCAATGTCCTTGCGGGCGCCAGCGAGTCCCCCAAGCCAGACAAATTGTGTGGGGAGAAATCTGGCAACAGCCGCCGCAATTTGAAGATCTCAAGATCTGGCCGCTTTAAGGAGAAGAGGAAAGTGCGTGCCACGCTGCTTCCAGAGGGAGACAGGTCCCCAGAGGAGGCGGACTTCCCTGATGATGCCCAGGAGGACAAGCAATAGCTGGAGTGAGCACTCTAAGGCTTATCTCTTTTCCCACAATAATCCCAGAACCCAGTTCCATACCTGAGAATTCTGACCCAGCCCCCTATTTGGTGTCTCACCCCACCATATTCATAATATTCACCCGAGGCCTCCAAGATTTTATTTTTCTGGAAATTGAAGTGTCAATTGAGTTCTCAATATTTCATGACTCAAAGATGCATTAAGTATTTATTTGTGGTAAGAGAAGATACATGCCTCTGAAGAAGTTGGCATAATTATTATTTTTTCCCCAAGGAGCTGTTTTGGGGCATTTGCCCTTGTTCTTGTCATCTATGGGAGTGAGAGTGACGGAGCGGGCCTTCTTTCAGAGAAAGTAGCTGAACTTGAACTCTGCAGCCCTCAAATGAGGAAGGCTGCTCTTATTGAAGATTCTGAAGACTTTCTCGGGAACATCAGATCTCAGTGCTGTTTTTAATGCCTGAGAAATGCACTTCAGGGATACTTCCATAGACTTACACCTTAAGTGAAGGGGTGGGGAGGGAAGAAGCAGTAAGTAGAAACATTTCAAAGTGAGGCAGTATTGCTTCAAAAATAGAACTACAAAACCGAACAGCATATTTTAGTGTGGATTATTAAAATTGTTGTACTGTAAGACTTAAGGTGACTTCTGTATTTTTTTTTCCATTCCAAGACAGAAATTCATCATACTTAAAAGCAGGCATGCAAAGTCCGGGGTGACAGAGTTAATCATTTGCCACACAACATAGCAGCTACTGAAGGAAAGCTGCAGGGAAGAGAACTTTTCCAGAAACTAGCAACATCTGAACTGGAACCAGTTAGCCAGATATTCCAATTTACTAACCACATTCAAGGAAGGGAGGTATCAGTTCATTATTCCTCAATTCTCCTTTTACTTCAGTGCATTTTCATAGAGTAAATCCAAATATATCCTTTTCAGTATTCACTGTTACCTTACCAACAATTTTCTGAAAGTGTTTAAACAAATGGACTAAATTCATTCATTTGTGCAAAGCTGCTTCCCGCCCCCGCCCCAATCCTTTCCCTTCTAAAGCTTATTTCTTTAAAGTCTGTCTTTATCTAATTTCAAAGTCTTTAGATCTATCAACCTAAATATTCTTATTAAAATCTGCAGGTTTGCTTTTATTATGAACTTCAAGAAGAAGGGTAAATGAATAGGACTTTCTTTCAGCAAATTACAGGACAGTTATTTTAGTTGTTAAGAAGCACCAAGATCTTTTCCCACTACAATTTGGTTCATTTTTAAACACCCAGAAATGCATACCAAAGAAATTACATTGATCAAGTTTTTGTCATTTTAGACAATGACCAGCTGCTCACTTTGTATATATAGGGAAGCTGGATTTTGTTTCTGTCCAATTAATAATTTATGAAATAGCTAAACATGTTGATTGTTCTAGGGAATTTAACAAAGAAATTTGATGAGGATTGCTAAAAGAAATTTAAATTAATGACTCAATATTCAGTATCAGAATAATAGAGTTAACCATTTGATATGAGAGTTTACACATACCAAAGAACTTAACTCTGGAGGAAATTGTTTACCTGGAGATTATAAATACCTTATATTAAAAGAAAAAGCATGTGGGAGTGTTTTGTTTTGTGGTGGTTTTGTGTCTGTGTGTTTCTTAAGCATAACGACTTTTTTTTATTATTGCACATTTAGAACCCAAATGTATGTGGCCAAATTCACCTCTAGGTGGAATTTCTGGATGAGGAAGACTTTACATTAATTTTAAATTGGTCTATTGCCCTGAGATTCTGATGAATGAGAACTTGCAGTAGACAAGCAGTTGGTGAAGGAAGGGATTGTGGGCAGGGAGAGAAGGCAGCAGATGTCAAATAAGAATCTGGAAAACCTTGATAAGGTATTTTAATTTTGTTCCATTGAAAATTAGAGTAGGTAACTATCCAAAATGTTCTCTCCCTCTTCAGGAAGGCCAATAGATTAGTACAGTACCTTTGTATAAAATGAAGTCTGCAATTGTCTGATTTAAAATCTTACACTAACTCTTTAATCTACAATTTTATTGTTTAAATTTTTTTTTCTTCAAAATTCCTCTAAATCCACAAAACATTGGCATTTTCCCAGCTTCCGTGTCTAGTTTTGGATCCCATCCAAGTCTCCAGTTGCTGCAGGTATCCAATGGCAGACACAGAATAGTGGAACTTATTAACATGACATCTTTACCCCACTGCTCTGAAAGAAAACTATGCTAATGGAAGTTATGACAGTGAATGCAATTCACAATCTGCCATTGAGGTTTGTAATTACATCTTTTTAAAACAGTCCTAAATTATGCAGTGGGAAGAATACACTGATTTAATCCCAATTCAGTGAAGTGGGAAACCAAGAGAAATTGGTGGGATAAAAAGATAATATAATTTGAATAAGTGTCTTGCAGGGGATTTATGTGCTTTACAGACAATTAATTCCATTCTCATAATGATTATAAATTCTTAAAGCTTTTAAACTTTGAGATAATTTATAGTACGTAAAAAGAAAATGTGGCTGAGTTAAAATCAGAATTCATTAGTGTAGAGAATTTTATTTTCTTTAAACCCATTTACAAATGAAATTTTACTCACAGATTTGGAAAACATTAGAGGGATTTCAAGGCTATGCTTCCAAATGATATAAAAAAAGGGACAAAAATCCAGTGGTCTATTTGCCAAATACTATTATAACCATGATAATTATATACACAGGGTACTTTTTGCCTCATTGACTCTGCTTGTAAAGTTAGTGGCTGAGCAGTGACTCATATTACAGTGCACCTGAATGTCCCTTTGTGTTTGTATTTAGGTTGTTCATCCCATTAGGACTTGCATTTCAAGAATGCAAACTCAATCTTGCATATGCAGTTAGGATGGTCCTGTTCAGTATTAACATCTGGATTTTTTTAAACATGTGAATTCAGCAATGTCAGACTTAGATGGGAAATATAAACCTAATAAGCATTGGCTAAAACTTTGTCAAAAACAATTATTTTCTTGAGATGCAGAGAAGAACATTTGGATAACTCAAAATAAATAAAGGATAATAAATGAGCAAGAAGGATTTCAAATAAAAGGCAAACCAGAAAGGAATAAGTGAATGGAAACTCATATCCAGGGATCACAGAGACCTTTTATGAAAAAAGAGAACGAATATTAATTTCCCTAGAAGTTGATTTTATTACTGGAGTTTATTTTAGATGTACAAAAATTTAGGGGATTCTTTCTTGGAATAAATTCAAGTTTATCTTTTTTTTTTTTTTGGCAGGTAGGTGAGTACCAGGGATTGAACTCACAGGCATCGACCACTGAACGACATCCCCAGCCCTGTTTTGTATTTGATTCAAAGACAGGGTCTCACTCAGTTGTTCAGCACCTCGCTTTTGCTGAGGCTGGCTTTGAACTCGGGATCCTCCTGTCTCAGCTTCCTGAGCCACTGGGATTACAGGCATGCTCCACCGTGCCTGGCTTCAAGTTTATCTCCACAGCAAGTAAAAAGTGAGATGAGTATCATACATTGGTATGTCAACAGAAGAGACATCCAGTAATACGAGGCTGAACCTAGACTAACCTAGACTAGAAACTGGTCTGAAACCAGACTAGAACGAGTATAGTACCCAAGTCAAATTTTGTCATAAATAATCTAGCTGTCACAGTGCAGCACAGTTTTTCTCACCTGTTCTCTGTACTCCCTGGCCCTGATCTCACCTTACCTCTATGCATGCATTTTTCTGAGGTTCAGGGAAGTGGAAGATGAAGTACCAGGAGGCCCAGGGGCCCTCCCCAGCCTCCTGTAGGCACCACGAGCATTTCACCAACCTCTTTGTAAAAAGATGGCTCTGCAGATTTGGAACATGGGATGCTTAGCCTTCATGGTGAACCAAGATTACCACTAAAAGATGGAATGTCAGGAAACTACACAGGACTTACCTCAGCAGAGGATGGTCAAACATTTGAATAGAATGAATAGAAGGGGTAACAGCTGGAAACTGTTACCAACTGATGGCAGAATATAAGCAATCTTACAAATATGCAAAGCAAGGAATTTGGTTGAATTGTTCTATAGCTGAAATGATAAGCTCATAATCATCATGTCAGAGTTGTTAGCATAACCTCATGCAATAAGATCCAGAGTGGAGTGTCTTTATCTCTGGGGTGTGGGACACACTGTTTACCCAGGAGATAAAAATTTCTGGCCCCAAACCATGAAAGAGTCAGTTTGAAGAAGTTGAAGCTCTCTACTCCTGAGTAGATTGACCTGCTTGTTGAGTAGAGGGTTGGGACCAATATGAAGCCTCCTGTGCTTTTTTTTTTTTTTTTTAAGGGATTTCCTCTGAGTTACAAGCACCCTGAATTATACATTTCTTTCTAACAGTCAGTCGATAAACATAATTATTGATTCTCACCCTCCGAGGCTGGTAGCGGAAAAAGCCTGCAGTTACATAAGACACCTATTCTAGTCCCCTCTCTGATTTGCTCTTGGAGCGTTTGCTTAGTCTATAAAATAGAGAGATGGAGTTTATATTCCAACACTAGAGCTCTCTTTTAGTATGCTGCTATTTTAAGCAACTGGTTGTAAAAGTTAACTCCAACAGTGCTCATTGCTTACTTTAAAACCGAAGGCTCCAGCTGTGGAAGGCAGGAGGGAAGGCCAAGAAATATACACTATGATACAGATACTGCCACCATCATGCCGTCATTTGACCCAGCAATTGAGGTAATCCTGCTATATAGGAACATTGAGCCCCCTCAAATCATGTTCAGAACAAAATCACAGCAATGACTTCTTATTATAGTGTCTTAACATTGAAAAAAGTGTGCTTTGGGGCTCAGGTTGTAGCTGACTGGGAGAGCAAGTTCCTAACATGTGCAAGATCTAGCTGGATCCTCAGGACTGGAAAAAAAAAAAAAAAAAAATATATATATATATATATATAACTATTATTTTGTTTGCTTCTTATAATTAGTTAATTAGTTCTTGGAAAATCCAAAACCTGATTGTGTATTCTTGTTTAAACTCAATTTTTCTTTCCCTTTGATTCCATCCTAGGTGAGAAATGCATCTCTTTAAAGCACAGGGGCCTGGCCACACCCATTTCTTTACTCTCGTTTATCCTCTGTCTAAAATCCTACAGGATAAGGCCAAGCATCCATGCCAGCCATTCAATATGATTGACACTTCCCCCAGAGTGGGTTTTGCCTATCAGGTCTGCAGACTTCTGTCTATTCTGTTGACTCTGTTTGGCATATTCTATCCCCACCCCCTGCCCAGAAAACCCTCAATCAGCCTTCAGGACCCAAGAGTTTCTTCCCATTTGCTGCAGTTTGGAGCTTGAATTTCCCCCAGAGGCCCACATGTTGAAGGCTTGGTCCTGAACCTTCTGGGAGGTGATGGAACTTTTAGAAAGTGAGGCCTAGTGAAAGGAAGGTCATTAGGGAGCATGTCTTTAAAGGGGCTCTTGGGACCCCAGCCCATTCCTATTTCTTTCTCTGTGTTTCCCAGCCACCACGAGATGAGGAACCTCTACTGCCACAAATTTCCTACTATGATATTCTGTTTTGCCACAGTTCTAAAAGCAACAGGGCTAAGCAATCAAGGACTGAAACCATAAGCCAAAATAAACCTTTCCTCCTTTAAGTCAATTATCTCAGGTATTTTGTCACAGTGACAGAAAGCTTACTAGAGACCATTTAACTGTCACAAGCCTCCCTTCTCCTGGCATTGCCGATGGCTTAACTGGAATACATTCAAACCTGTTTACCTACCACCAATAACCATATTGTATGGATATGGTCACACATCTCCCTGCCCTTTTGAGTATGAAGCTCAGGGAAATTCAAGGGGCAATGCTCATTCCTTGTGCACCTTCATGAACTCCTGGTTAACAAGGATCCATTGATCCTTTGGCTAGTAGATCTTAGAAGGGCCACCTTCTTTTTTTTCTCTGAGGAAGCAGCTGTGTTTGACAGGTAGAAAAAAAATTCTGAGGATTGTGAATCAGTAAGAGTCAGAGTCCAATTAGGAGAAAGAAACCACACAGTAATTTGAACAGGGAGTATTTAATATAAAGAACTATTATCCATAACAGGGATTGAAGTAACAAGGGATTGGCTACTAAGAAGTAAAGGAAACCCTAATAGGTTGACACAGGAATCCAGGTCAATGAGAAAGCACTGCCCCTTGGGCTAAGACAGAGTGCTCAAGGCAGGTCCCCTCTTCCTTCAACCCCTTAAGTCTTATTGTAAAGGGCACAGCCATGACTCACTGATTGGTAGAGACATCTCTGTGGTGCCCCATCAGCAGTAGTTTCTGGAAATCCATCTTTTAGAACTGGCGACAGTGCACCAACAGAAACGAAAGCTCTAATCGCCAAATGACTTGAACCTTGTGGATGAAGACACCCTAGGAAACATTGCTAGGATGGGTGGAGACAGCAGGGGAGGAAGTGGGTATTTCTTCAGGCCAGCTTATCTCATTTCATAACATCTCCTTTTGTTTGATATCCTCTTAGGAGATGGCACCCTCAAGATACTCTGAACTCATTGTCCGTGCTTCACGGGCACTTGGCTGGCCACCTCTGCCCATTTCTCCCACTCTCCATTGCAGCCAAAGCAGGCTCCTTTCAATTCACTGACCACTGCTCTCTCTTCCCCCTCCAGGTCTTGGAACACATTCCACCCCCTGCCCAGGAACCCTCCTGGGGGTCAGGTTCCTGAGGGCCTCGTGTTTGGGACTCTTCACATATGCTTTTTCTTTAGACTTTCAGTGATTTTGAGGATACTTCTGCCGCTTGAGCAACCATAAGTAAATGGAACTTGGGTGGAGTTACATCACCTCTTTGGCTCCTTTTGCCTTGTCAGTCAGTGGAGGATGTAGCAACAGTTCAGTGTTTGCACAAACTAAGTGCACATGCAGAGCTGTCTGACCATAGAAACTACGCAGCCTTGTAGAAGCCCGCAGCAACATCAGCTGCTTTGATTCTCACTCCTGAGTAATGAGTTGAGAGTGCCTAAAGGAATTATTTCAGTGGTTTCCTTTGAAAATAATCTGAGGACTAGGGATATAGCTCAGTGGCAAAGCGTCTGCCTGCAAGCCCGAGGCTCAGGGTTTCACTCCTCCTACTAGAGGAAAAAAGAAATCTAGAATTTAGAGATCCTACCTCCTAGGAATCCCAAGAAGCTTGCCTTTTGGAAAACTGTAGTTATGTCTTTGCTCCAAAATTTCAAGGACAGGTAACACAGGGGAGGTTCTAGGAGATAAAGAAAGAAAAAAGACTACATATCTTGGCCCTGTGATGACCAAGAGGGGGAGTTGGATTCTGGGCTGTCATCCTTACATTCAAGAGTGGATCCTGAGCTTGGGATTGTTTAGTGAATACATTTGAACTGTTGCCATACACCCCTAAAGGAGGGTGAAATAGAGACTTGAAGAGGTATCGGCTTGGGGGAAAATGGAGTGGTGAGTGTCAGGAATGTCTGGGGCTGGCTTGGGGGTACTTAAAGGGATAGCACCTTGTCAGTTATCAAACCTCTAAATCCCTGGGAATGACCATTCTCCCCACATTTCTGATCCTGGAGACAGGAGAAGGGCCAGGAAACAGCCTCATCCTCACAATCCACATGGTTTGCTCAAGCTGTCTATCTCCACCCAGTGGGTGGGCATCTGGAAGGGTTGGCAGAGTCAATTAGGGTGGCTAGTGAGGCAGGGTTCAGGTAGCTTCTTGCCTGTTCTCTGGAGGGTTTCAAGGCTCCTGGGCTTTGGTAGATCATATTTTACAGGAATCCTGTCTCAGGCTGAGTTTGCAGAAGGCTGTGGGTTGATTGAAGGCAACCACTCATGACTTCACCCTTGGATGTATTCTGTTTGTTTACACTGAGGCTAGCTCTCAGGGATTCCATGGGGAGGTTGAGAGGCTGAGAGAGAGAAAGCACAGGCAGACACAGAGCAGGGGGAACAGTCTAATAGGGGACTCAAGAGGCCCAGGTGTTCTGAAAGAAGCCAGGCATGGTGGTGCACACCTGTAATCCCAGCAGCTGGGGAGGCTGAGGCAGGAAGATTGTGAGTTCAAAGCCAGCCTCAGCAACTTAGTGAGGCCTTAAGCAACTCAGTGAGACCCTGTCTCCAAGTAAAATATAAAAAGGGCTACGATGTGGTTCAGTGATTAAATGCCCCTGAGTTCAATATCTGGTATCAAAAAGATAAATAAATAAAAAAGAGTTCTGAAAGGAAGTACTCTAGCATCGCACACCTTCCCCAATTGGATGCAATCAGAAAAGGAGGCTGTCCCTGGACCTGCCACAGTCAACACTATCAGCCCCATAATGTACTCAGAGGAAGCCACTTCTTTTTGATCCACAGAGTCACAGAGTTAGGGGTTCTCAGGAATGAAGGATAGAATTTTAACCACTGCACCCTTTAATTGTAGGGCCATTTAGTTGTCTTATTTTTGTAATGTAATACTTAATTTCTGGATTCTATAATTTCAGTGCAATTCAACAACTATCCATTGAGTACACAATACACAGAAGACCCAGAGACAAAAACATGAAAAGGACAAAGATGTTATTAGTGCTTTACATACTGCATAAGTTTAAGCCCTAACTATGTCACTTATATATTCACTTACTTATTTATTCACCAAATGTTTACTGAGTTCATTCAATCTCTTAATTATTCAGTGCCCCCATTGGGGACAATTAAGCTATAGATACAGAAAAGAAAAAAATGGACTTTAAGTTTGCCCTACAATGCAGTGTGATAAGAACAATAATAGTCTGGAGTCAACCTCTCAATCTCTTTGACTTCTCAAAGATTCACTGAAGTGTGTTGCACCGTGTAAACTGACCTTGTTCTCAGATGGGAGTGGCCAGAGCATCTGCTCCCACAGCATTCCCTCTCTATATGACAATTGTCAGTGAGGGAATGAGAGTGCTCCTTGTAAATTCTGTGTCAACAAGGGTGATGACGGTGTGCTCTTCCTCAATAGTCCATCTATTGTGAAGGAAGTCTGCTGAACCCTGACCCATGTTTAGGATCCATGGGAAGTTCAGTCCTGAAACTAAAGATCTGCCCACAGGTGGCTGCCTCCCACTTTCTCCCTTGATCTTTTGGGGAAGTGCTGAGCATGGATGGCAAGTCCTCAAACCCAACGTGATCTGCATCCCTTCTTTCTTCTATTCATCCAACCATTGACTTCCTGTTTTTTGAACTCACTGAATGGGACACTCCTTCAAATATTTATTTTCGGGCTCTTTTAGCTATGAAAAAGCAGTGTTGCCAACTGAACCATGATTGCTTCTCTAGTTAATCATAAGGTTTACAGGCCTTCCTGGGAACTCCCTGGGGGAAATGTGCCATGTAGAAACATCTACATTCCCATTCTGTTTTGCTATGGAAGACATAGTCAGTGCTGCCATACAGCAGGCCAGAATGCCAATCATAGTCGACATTCCATAGGGCTTGACACTTCAAGAAGCACTTTCACGTTGCATGATCTTATGGGATCCATAAAAAACTGCAGCGTTAGTTAATTATCATTCCTACATACATACTCCTTTCGTATGTGACCTTGCAGATCTCCCTTTTAAGATGTGGCATCTGTTTCCCAATGCTTAGTCTGTGGGTTTAGTCTCATAACTTTCTGTGGCCAAAAGAATGTGGAAGAACTGATATTTAGTCCATGTTTGTTAGTCTGCTCTGGCTGCTATAACAAACACCACAGACTGGGTGAATTAAACAACAGAAACTTATTCTCTTACAGTTCTAGAGGCTGGAAATCCAAGATCAACGTCCCACAGGGCTGAGGTCTGGTGAGGCCTCTCTTCCTGGCTTGCAGATGGCTGCCTTTTCACTGGGTCCCTCTCTCTGTGCATAGGCTGAGAGAGATCCTTGATGTCTCTTCTTCTTCAGAAGAGTCCAACCTTATAACCTCATTTAACTTTATTTTCTTCTCATAGGCCCTGACTCTAAATACAGTCACATCAGGGGGTGAGGGCTTCCACATATCAATTTTGGGGTGACACAATTCTGTTGCTAATGCAAATCTAGGTTTCAAGGGGCCTTCCACTCTCTCAGTATCCTATCCCAACTTGAGAGAACACTGTAGGAAGAGAGACAGATGAGCTGTCCCTGCCACTATGTGGCTACTGGCCAAATCGGCCACTAACTGAAGATGCAGGAGAATGTCTAGATGAAACCAGAACCACCCAGCTGAGCCCTGTCCAAATTGGTGACCTGCAGAATTATTCCCAGATTCAATTGGTGGTGTTTTAAGCCACCAAGTTTTAGCATGGTTTGTTAAGCTAACTGATTTGCCAAAGGTAACTTTCATTTTGTTGAGCAAAAAATAGAATATCAAAGAAATTCAGTGATCACCCAAGACTTTATTGCTCATTGTTGTTAAAAGGCTGAGTCTGTGGAATTCCTATCTTTGTTTTCTTCATTCTCCCCTGAACCACTCTGAGATTAGAGACAGATTTGGAGTCTAGAAACACAAAGATATTGAAATGCTGCAACTTATGATGAAGCTTTTCCTGGCAAATCAATTTCATTCCTTGGTTGGTCGAACTTCACAGAGAGTGAGTGAGTGAATGTGTGTGTGTGTGTGGTGTGTGTGTGTGTGTGTGTGTGTGTGTGTGTTGTGAATGCATGCCCCTGCATTTCCTCCAAAGGGTACCCACAGTTTATCAGGCTTATGTGCCCAGTGCAGGCAGGTTTCCTCTGAGTCTAGCCTAGTAACTACATGTTGGTCCATGTATCCCCTTGTGGGCAGTGAATGGCTGTACTAGCTGTGTTGAATTTGGGCCTGCGTGTTTATGTCAACTGGACATCCACCACCTCTGGGTAAGAGTGAGCTTTTGCTTCAGTGTGCTCCTTAGCTAACCTTTCCACGGCATACTGACGGCTGCTGGAGAAGCTGAGGCAAGAAACAGAACAGCACTGCAGAGAAGCACTCACTGTCTGGAAGATGACGGTGGTTTGAGAAGAGTGACAGTTAAGGACAATGAAGGAGAGTTGGAGTCAGGGGACCTTGTGAGGATTTCCTGGTACTCAGTCCATGGAGCTCCCTCCCTCCACCAACAGTCATAACCCCGGCCTCCCGTTACAGCATCTTTGGTCACTTCCAGTGTTCTGCTCCTTAATGTTTCACACAAATTCGAACACAGTTTTTACACCCTGTAAAGTAAAATCTTAAAAGTGGGCAGGTTGGGTCAAAGAACATATATTTTACGATTTTTGTAGAAAAATCATACAGATACTATCGAATTGTCTCTGTAAGATTGTACCCAAACACTTACTCCATAAGCAATGTATGAAAATGCTGTTTCCCCACAGCCTCACCAAGAGA